AGGAGAGTACGGGGGTGAGTCCGAACTTCATGATGTTCGGTCGTGAGGTCGGATCGCCGGTGGACCTCATGTTCGACTGCTTACCGGGACTGGAGTATCCGGCTTGCCCGGTGGAGTATGTTGATTGGGTAAGACAGTCCATTCGTGCAGCGCATCAGCACGCGCGTACGCAATTGGGAAGAGCGGCGGAGAGGCAGAAACGGAATTATGACAAACGTGTCAAACCGGCAGCCTTTCCGCCGGGCACCTGGGTGTGGCGATACTACGTGCCTGCCTCTGGGAAGCTGGGCACTCCCTGGCAAGGTCCGCTCCTAGTAACACGGGAGCAAGGGACGCTTCGCTGGGTGCAGGCCCAGGAGACTGACCCACCTAGTGTGGTAGCGGTCGACGACCTCAAACCTTACGTGGGGGACTATGCTCCGGAACGTTGGCCGCTTCCGGGAAGCCGCCATTCCGAGAAAGCATTTCCCGGGAAACCACGGTAGCACGAGGGAATCGACGTGGCAACCAGCATGGACGTCTCATGTGCCGAATCTGCCGTGAACGTCAAGCTGAGGTAAGGGGAGTTGGACTCTCTGTGTAGCGAAGGACAGGGGAGCATGGCGATACACGTGCATTGGCAGTCCTGTGCAACGTTTCCGGCATGTTCACGGAGGCGTAATGTCAATGCGGAGCGTGGGATCTTAGGTTTCCCCGAGCTCCGGGAGCATCCTTTAGTGTTCGCTACCCGTCACGAGCCGAGAAGACAGGGAGGCATCGGGTAAGGATTACCCTCCTCCCAGTGTGAGGCTACGCAAGGATGTCAGACCGGGTGCCATTCACCCGCCACGGTCTTTGGTAAGTCTGTGCAGTCTGTAACCCCACCTAATAAGTGTCTACGTGTAGCAGTGTTGCTGGCCAATACACTACAACCTACGTACGCGCGCTATTTCCCAGGTTGCATTGCCTTAGACGAATCGTACAGGTGGCTGGGTACGCTTCCTCGTCGACGCTACGAGTGGCATTACAGGTACCGAGCACGGACGGGATTCACAACCCCGCCCGTCAGCGGCGTTCGCCGCGCCGCTGGGGGATGGGCCGGCGGGATCGGCGATTGGACTATGCCTGTCCATGGCGCCCGAGCCGGTGGAGGGCAAGGCAAACCGAAAACCATCGCCCCTGTACGATATCGATAAATGGCTCGACGGAATACAGCGCCTGCTAAGTAGTCGGTCGTAGGCAGAGCGTACGACCCGCGGAGGTAAACGCGGGTGGGAGAAAGGGGCGTGCTTAAACGTCGTACTCCCACGGTGGAAAGCTAGTGGGTACGGTAAAGGAATACGGGCATAGCTTGTCTCCCGTGTTTCTGGGAAGTGTGAGCAGCTAGGGCACATATCTCGCTATTTTGGCATGGTATTGTGGGCGTCGGTTCTGCACATATCTCGGACCCCTCATTATGCTTTCACCGCAATAGTGCAGTGTAATCCGTATTTTTCCTTGCTCGAAGTTAAAAAGCAAGAACGCACTAGCCACGGGAGCTCATCCCGTATGCTTGGGATTTGGGCGCATGTACTGTGTACTTGTTATTGCTCATTTCGCATGCACGGTACCCGTATGCATGGAGTTTGAGCACGTATGTACTGTGTACAGGTGATTTCTCATTTCGCATGTGCGGGGCCCGTGGCTGGCAGCAGCTTACTTCGGTGGGCACGAAAATAGCCGGTGGGATTCACGGATGCCGCGAGCTCGGCGGGGTGGGCATGTGGTACTGCTTGTCAGTAGGTAAGCAGCATGATGGCTGTATCACATATACCTCACCACATAGAACAGCAGCGGCATTGTAGTGTGAAGTAGCAAAACTTTACGGCACCGCCCGAGAGGGATTCGAACCACCCGTCTCCACCTCTCCAGCGGGTAAGCCGAGGGCGTCCAGAGGCTGGAAGCCCTTCGCCATTCAGGAAACGGCGCGATTGCTTTGCCTCACACGTACATTTGTACAGCCGCAATGCCACCAGCGAACGAGGGAAGGAAGAAAAAGGCAACGCTGGTGGCGGGGTTCGATCGCTCGAGCACCCGTCTGCCAGCCCCGTGTGCTACCTGTGCAGCTAACGAGCCACTGGTATTGGACGCACCGGAGGCCGGTAACAGTGCATCTGTACCGAGCGGGTGACGTCATACAGTTGTGCACGTAGCTATGACGCTTGACGTCACTGGGCCAGGACACCGGTTAGAGCCGGGAGGGGTTATAGGTCACGGGTGAAGGCCACAGGCTACTCGGTGAATATACGAACTCCCTATCCTGTACTCCCTGCGATCGGCAGCGGGGCAGGATATCCGCGGTTGTGAGTACGGGGAAGAAGCAACACGTTAGGGTTGCTCTCCCGTTTCTCCCGCGGTGTGCACGCAAACGCACAGGAACTCTGCGACAACGCTTGACGGCTGTCGTACGAGTGGCGGTGGGACGATCTGGGAAGATAGTGGGCGATTAAACGCCGCACTACTCTGCAGCCGTG